TTTTCGTGCTCATTTAAACGACAAAGACATCCATGGTGTGGCTGTGTTAGGTAGTTATCCTAGGTACATGTTGGTAGTCAGGTCCATGATAGATTAGATATCTGTTTTTCTATTGATATTGGTCCCTGCTATTTACCTTCATTGCAATTGCAGCCAGGTGGTTTTCTGTCAGTCGTCCCTGTTGGTATTGCCTCAGCTGGTGAATCAGAACGGGAGCTCTTGTGTGTCCTTTAGATTCCTGTTCTAATAATTACCAAAAGAGAAAAAAAACCTCATGAAATATTTTGTGACTTATATGTATGAAACTTATAAAACTGTCAAATGTTCGCTGGGTAGTTGGCAATTTCCTATGCTGCAGATTGTACCTCATGGGCAAATGCATTGCATAGCTTTATTTTGATGCTGATTGGGGAACTAAATATATCAACTGCTTCAAGTTGTGCTTTACCTTTATTGTGGCCTCGACCATCACTCGTGTTGTCAGATTGTGACGTTATAGAACCAGACAGCTGTAAGTAAAGATACATGTTTCATGTGTAGACAGTCATTCATCTGGTTGCCAAACGTAACTGATATGTCACTGGATGTTTTGTAGATCAGCTTGTATAATCCTCTCAGTTTCATTTGGAGGTGAACATGTCTGGAGAATAATTTTATTTCATGTTCTCATGATGATATAAGCTTGCTTCATTTGTTAACTACAATTTTAAAAATACAAGCATTATTTCATTTTCGGAATGTAGATATCCCAATCCATAGCTAAACGGTTATACTCACAACATCAAAACCTGGTACCTCCTTGTCTAACAAAGATAAGACCGTCGTGTGTCGAGTCAGGTACTCCATTGTTGCCTGCCACTCCACTGGTAAAGAAAACGATATATAGAGTAGATAATCCTATCATTGAGCAGAACATTATCAACAATGATTAGTAATTAATTATCATTTAACTTGGTAGTAGCAGTAGTAGTAGCAGCAGCAGCAGCAGCAGTAGTAGTAGTAGTAGTAGTCATGGTAGTAGAAATTTCGTCACATGCGGGACATTCAGTTAAGTGAATACGTTTCCAGAACTTGATTACATACCCGTGTATAATTTGTGGAGTTTTTCTTTTCTATGATCCCTGTCCTGAAACAACAACAAACTTGATAAGACACACTATATCTATCTACTCGTGCGTGTAACCATTAAATATGTTTGTAATTGTCCATCGTTCATTCCAGTATTCACCATTGTAATTTTTTAAAATCTATTATGAATGTTATGATAAATATGATTATATGAAAAGGTACCTTCAGTAGGTTGTCCAGATCGTGATTAAGCTTGTCGATTTCTCCCCAGCCTGCAAACAAACAAACAAACATCGAAAATTAATATATCAACCGCTCACGGGGTGACCTTTCCAATACTTGAATGACTTTATGTAATACAGCAGCAATGCCTTTTATCTGGGTAAAGAAACTTGTAAATTTATGATTTATGATAATTCTTACTATGTTTTCACGAGTGGACAATCTCAATTCTACCCACAGGACCCTCAGCTGCAGGTACTTACGGCTTTCAAGATCTTTTCCATCTGTGTCCTGTGGCTCTATTTCCAATTCGGTTGTCTGGATACCTTCCTTCCGTACTGGCTGAAATACACACAGTCATGTAATCTATGATTACTTAAGATATAACATTGGTTGAAAAGGAAGTTTGATATGTTTCTATAATCCAGATCTTGGCAGATTGCAGTCGAAGATAATATGCACCTTTCCTAAATATGTTCGTAATATGCGACAGTGAAAATATAACATTAACCATAAGATTAAGATAATCAGTCTAGGAACGTGAGATTCTTGTAAGTTACACACTTGAATGTCGGATTCTTTTCCTTCCTTCCCTGACTCAAAGTGAAGCCTCTCTGCAACAAGCAAAAAAAATAAAATGTTTTCACATTTTCAGTGTTGTTTGAGAGACAATTGAGTAGCAGCAACATGCTGTCATTGTAATTTCGATCAATACATATTGCATCGATTAATACACAATAATAATAAACAGAAATAATATGTTGAAACTTACCCATTTGTTGCTCAATTCCTGGACTTTCGACATGTCCAACCTGAAAAAGTAATAAAACGTTACCTTCCTTGATCTTGATGGAACCAATGTATTCCATTTAACAGCCAACTTTTAGCAAACCATCTCAGCAAAAACTTCTTTAAATCTTAAGATGATGTTGGCACATTGTGGTCTGAATTTTTGTATTTTAATCTATTTTTAGAAGAAAATTTCGGGGATTATAGATATGTATGTCACACCTTACCATCGTAAAATTGTGTTTCGATTCTGTGTATTCTTTTTTACCCAAAGCTGAAAGATTGAAACTACAATTAAAACGTACAGTCATCATTCAATTGTTGTATTATACATGTCTTTGAAATATATCCATTTATGTACTCTCATTTTACTCACATGTTATATACCAGTTGAACCACTGTAAAGACAAATGTCCCACTGGTACAACATGTGTCAGTGTAAGAGTGTATAACGAGAGACAGATGGGAGAATGGATAGATGAAGGACACGCAGAAAGAGGAAGATGCAATGGCACCAGAATGAGAGATCGAATAACTGGTGAAGCACAGATGGAAGAATTGGGGATTTTGGGTAGAAGTGGTAGGAGAAAGGAAAGAGAGAAGAACATGATCGATAACAGTTCAAATAAAGAAATATGACATGTGATATATGTTATGTGGAGTTTAGACAGCAGAACAATGATATAAGAAACGATATGCTCCAGGGAAGAATGGCCAAATTGACAAGGGACTAGGGGGGCAGGTAGGATGCGTGGTATACAGGACCAATTAGATGACTGGGATGAAGTACGGTCAAGAGAAGGAAGGTCTGGAGGAAGGTCATGGGGAAGGCTTGGCGGAGTACATTGGACTGAAGGACAATATGAGTGGAGGAGGGAACGTGTTATGACATGCATTACTTATTTGGCTACATTATGTTCCGAGGACATAACCATCAGTCTTGTTATCTACACTACATACCATTCCTCAAGTGGGCCATTTTAACCTCGTGATACATTTGAAGCGTTTTATCTTTGATCATGACCTGAAATAAAATATATAGACAATGTGAATTTCATTATCATATCTTATTTGGTAGTCATTATTTTGCTTGCGATTCATAACCTAGATCTCTGTAATTTCAAATCTTACCGATTTTAGAAGAGGAAACATATTCTTCCTTTGACTCATTCTGTCATGTAGGTCTGACAACTGAGCCTTGTGTGGGGTAGAGAGTTGCCTGAAGCCGCCCAAGGCTGAAATGAATAAGAAGATTTAGGTGAAGGAATATCTTTTACATCTGAAATATTTGTTATGAATGTCATCACATCCCCCACCCCCAGTAAACATCACCCCAAGCAGTTTTATAAAGAGACATCGATAATAGCTCTTACATTTAGTAGCAATAAACCAAATCAACCATTTATATAACGAAATCTATAAATCGATAATTATTCTCTTTAATAATCAACATTAAACTTTGGGTTTCCTCATGTAATTTCACTGAAGAGTGAATCATTCCATCTCCTGGGACCAGGACGTTTGTTTTAGCCAATTCAATGGATATGTCAGTCTTTCAAAATATGTATTGTTTACGTGGGCGTTTAAGGATGGAAATACTCAATTGCATAGTGACCCTTGCTTGTGGTAAGCCCATGTGGCTTGTCCTCCAGACTATGGCGTAGCGGACGAACCTGCAAATAAACAAAGGTAACAAAGTGGCATTAATACAGTTACTATTGGTGTATGTTATAAGATGTGAATATCTTTGTTATTAAGTGTGTGTAATCACAGTGTTTTCTGCTATGTATCCATGTATATATGTATCTATGTAGCTGTGTATGTATGTATGTATGTATGTATGTATCAATCCATCCATCCATCAACTTACAGCTATACGCCATGTTTGTCCCAGTTTGTAACTTAATATTTTCAGCACACTGAAATCCCTGAGGAGATATTCAATCTGTTTCTTCCAAGCATCTGAAATGTTTTTGAAAAAAGCTAAATTACTTACACCCTAAAGCATGTATAATAGGTACCAACTATGAAGCTGAGAGTCTTATCATGAGGTTGTTATGTGCACATCTCTCTCGACGTTATTTACTCTGTCTTAATCATCATCATCATCTTAATCATCATCATCATCATCATCACGAAATAGCTTTATTCTATTTCACTTCATTATTTATCGTGACTTTGTAATAAACATTTACCATCAGACAAAACATCTATTTGTTTCTCCATCCCTTCTGTTTCCTGCAAACATAAAATGAAAACTTTGTTAATAATCAGCAACTCTGGAACAAACGGCTTCGAGGGAACCAGTTATGGCTATTCAATGAATATATTCTTATCCCTGTAAAACGGTTTGTCATGGGTAGGTTTGTGGATATATACAAACACCATATGGAGGTAGGGTATTGATACGATTGACTGGTATTAATAGCAGCTAGTTGTTATTTAAGTGTTCACATTACATGTTGTAGTCTCATTGGTTATGAGTGTTCGGCAATCCTGCCGAGGAAACAAACTCCCCACGGAAATGACGACTCAAAATATATGTGAAGAAAATACCTGTCTCAATCGAAACATTCACACCTCTTAACCCTGCCATGATATGGTTAGTGTTACAACATACATTACCCTTTCTGCCTCACATATTTTGGACGTCAGTTCCTTAATATCAGTTACATCTGAAATGAACAACATGCAAGTCGTCAACAAACTATAAGCTGTAAGGTGCACACAGAATGAGTTTTTGTATCAACAGTACTTAAGAAATGCTATGTTTTTTTTCTTCTTTTTTCTCTTTCTTTCACCAAATTTGTCAGATTAAAAATAACATTCATGATCTAACAAGGAAGTATATGTTTTAACGACAAAGAGTCTGGTTTTGACTATAGAGTGCTGAATTAATTGTCATATGTAAATATACTTACAGGTTCCAAATCGCCACTTCCGACTGCTTGCGTGTGTCATGACTGTGTTGGTTTCATCAACGATAGTCACACAGGAGGACAGGTCAACCGTACTGAGATCCTCTGCTGCTACAGCTGATGGGTACACCGACCTGGAAACAGGCTTTAAGTTAAGGCTTCTTTCTGCAGACTCATTCAAAAAAGGAATTGGATTGTTTGATGCTTTATGTTGTTACCGGACTTGATAGGACTACTAATGCTGCTGATGGCGCCAACCAATAAGTACGCCGACTGCATACAATCTACATTTGCTATAACTTAATACAAACCTGAGTCTGTCCCTCTCCTCCCGTGACCTACACACCAGCAGAGTGTCCCCCTGTCGGTTCAGTCTCCTGGCCACCTCCAGCATCAACGTCGTGGCTCCACTTCCGGGCACACACTTCACCTGGACATCCTTATCGTTTATGTTCTCCACCAGAATGACAAATTGTTCTTTGGTAAGAAATCTCAGACAATCTCCATCAGTGTCACCAGTTTCCTTGAGCACCGACTTCGTTTCAGCAACACCAGCCCAGAAAGTAGTGAGGACCTGCTCATATCTGCCAGGTGTCATTACCAAAGAATCTCTTGTGACAAAATGTGAAGAATCATTTGCCAACTTTTTCAGTCGAGTCTCAAATGAGGCAGCGTCCTCGAGGATTGAAGTATGAATGACACCATGTATGGAGTTGACATCTTCATCCGTGAATCTGCTGAGTGTCTCTATCACTCCTCTGGCCACTGATGTATTGTACATCACTGCTTCAGGAGACTCTGCATCTCCATCAACCAGTGACAAAACTATCACAGGTTGTGTAGGTAGTGCCAGGAATACATCACACACTGTGTGGCTTGGACGGGGTGATGTGGGGAAATCTAGTACTACTGATAAGGAATGGGCTAAGAACATAAAGCATGGTCCAGCCTTTGGGTTTGGAAAGTCTACCACTTCACTGGTCAGAGGATCAAATACAAAGTCGAACGCGTGATTTTCTATGTGTTCAATGAGTCGTTCTTTCACTTGTGCTAAAGGGGTTCTTAGGTCTGATGGCACAATATTCTGACCATCTGAAAATATACAAATATACAGTTCTTTGAAAGCTTGTCCACTGCACGTAGAATGCCAATTATGTGACACATTATGTTGATAAAGGCCGATGATACAGAAGATCTAAATATAGTTACAGTATGTATAATTTTATTCATGGATCAAATAAACTGAATAACTTACCTGATGTATTTGTGTATGTTAAGGGCACTATTAAAAGCTTTAAGGGGCAAAGCGTTTGGTGTCTTTCGAAGATTTGACTAAAATGTATCTATAAATAACCTCAACATACTCAACATATCCTGGCTATAAAATATATGCTTTGTTTAAATTTATTGAAGGCACTCCGTAAAATGATAACGTTTGTTACCTTTTTGAATGAAGTAACTTTTTATTTCATAGAGACTGTCTCCAATCTGTTTCAGGTCAGGACGAAATAAGTCATTTGTCCCCAGATATAGACCATGCTCATCCTCCTTTGCGATATTTTGCTGGAACATGAAATGAAACGTGAAGCTTGCACTGATAATGTGAAATGAAACTGGTACAGCTTTATCGATCATTGATGACTGTGACATAAAAAACTCTTTAGGGAAACATCTTGTGATTGTCGCCTATTTACAGATAAAATGATGTTAATCTTGAAAACTGTATAGAATGATAGTAAATATCAATAATATGTCCCCGATCTTGTATAGATGTTTTCTTAAATGTTGTACCAAATATATATGCACTTACTAGTAGCTTCCACATGCTGCCTGAAATGATTAAACATCGAGACATTAAGAATATGATAAAAAAACATTTCCATCGACAAGTATTACAATATATTCACGCTAAACAGAACACTAGTAGAGCATAAGAATATTTTGTTTTATGGAAGGATAGATTTGTTATCAGCCTGTGTAAAATTATGCTACAATAATTTGGCAAGGCAGATCAAGGAAAAGAACATAACAGTAGATTTACCTTTATGAGCATACTTATTGCATTTAGCAAACTTTAAAAGAAACGGATATATCATTAGAATTCAATCATTTAACGAATTTACCTATGATCGTCGAACTTTGGTGTAGTGTGGTGCAATTTCCCTTATGTCGCAAAGCTTTTCGATAAAATACAAAATTGATTCACACAGTGTACACATTAAATAATCACTTCCTTTATTACTTTTGAAGGTACACGAGTTCGTGCAAAGTTGCAACACTTATGCGTGCCTACAATTTGTCATCGTTGGTCCGAATCCAAGATTAGCCCTCATAGTATTTCTTTATGTGTTATCACTATACTCATTCTCGTGGGTTTCACTAAAACCTTCCTCCCACATAAAGCGTATATGCCACGATATTATTTAAATTATGTTTAAAGTGGCAACTCACTCACTCACTCACTCACTGAGCATACAGAGGCTTATTGTAAGTTCCCGAATATTAATGTTTCCTGAATATTCAATATAATAATAATCATCATCATCATCACGAAATAGCTTTATTCTATTTAACTTCATTATTTATCGTGCTTTTGTAATAAACATTTACCATCTGACAAAACATCTATTTGTTTCTTCATCACTTCTTTTTCCTGTAAACATAAAATGAAAAATTGTTATTAATCAGCAACTCTGGAACAAACGGCTTCGAGGGAACCAGTTATGGCTATTCAATGAATATATTCTTATCCCTGTAAAACGGTTTGTCATGGGTAGGTTTGTGGAAATATACAAACACCATATGGAGGTAGGGTATTGATACGACTGACTGGTATTAATAGCAGCTACATGTAGTTGTTATTTAAGTGTTCACTGCACAAGAGAAGGCTATATAGAGTGGACGTGGAAGCTCTCACATAGCATGTTGTAGTCTCATTGGTTATGAGTGTTTGGCAATCCTGCCCAGGAAACAAACTCATGAGATGCATTTGTGCATGTCATCCCTACGGAAATGACGACTCGAAATATCTATGAAGAAGAGTACCTGTCTCAATCGAAACATTCACACCTCTAAACCCTGCCATGATACGGTTAGTGTTACAACATACATTACCCTTTCTGCCTCACATATTTGGGCAAATCGCCAATTCCGACCGCTTGCGTGTGTCATGACTGTGTTGGTTTCATCCACGATATTCACACAGGAGGACAGGTCCACCATACTGAGATCCTCTGCTGCTACAGCAGATGGATACACCGACCTGGAAACAGGTTTTCACAAAACTGAACTCATATCATGTGATGGTTTCAAACAATCATTTAAGTCTTTAAGTTAAGGCTTCTTCCTGCAGACTCATTTACGAAAGTAATTCTATTGTTTGATGCTTTGTGGTGTTACCTAATTTAAAACGACTACTAATGCTACTGATGGCGCCAACCAATAAGTACGCCGACTGCATACAATCTACATTTGCTATAACTTAATACAAACCTGAGTCTGTCCCTCTCCTCCCGTGACCTACACACCAGCAGAGTGTCCCCCTGTCGGTTCAGTCTCCTGGCCACCTCCAGCATCAACGTCGTGGCTCCACTTCCGGGCACACACTTCACCTGGACATCCTTATCGTTTATGTTCTCCACCAGAATGATACATTGTTCTTTGGTAAGAAATCTCAGACAATCTCCATCAGTGTCACCAGTTTCTTTGAGCACCGACTTCGTTTCAGCAACACCAGCCCAGAAACCAGTGAGGACCTGCTCATATCTGCCAGGTGTCATTACCAAAGAATCTCTTGTGACAAAATGTGAAGAATCATTTGCCAACTTCTTAAGTCGAGTCTCAAATGAGGCAGCGTCCCCGAGGACAGATGTATGAATGACTCCATGTATGGAGTTGACATCTTCATCCGTGAATCTGCTGAGTGTCTCTATCACTCCTCTGGCCACTGATGTATTGTACATCACTGCTTCAGGAGACTCTGCATCTCCATCAACCAGTGACAAAACTATCACAGGTTGTGTAGGTAGTGCCAGGAATACATCACATACTGTGTGGCTTGGACGGGGTGATGTGGGGAAATCTAGTACTTCTGACAAGGAATGGGCTAAGAACATAAAGCATGGTCCAGCCTTTGGGTTTGGAAAGTCTACCACTTCATTGGTCAGATGATCAAATACAAAGTCGAACGCGTGATTTTCTACGTGTTCAATGAGTCGTTCTTTCACTTGTTCCAAAGAGGTTGTTAGTTTTGTTGGCGCAATATCCTGACCATCTGAAAATATACAAATATACAGTTCTTGAAAGCACGCTATTACATGAAGAATGGTCCTATGCCAGTTCTTTGACACTTCTAATACACGAGTATCACATAACAGAATCTTAATTTGCAGACTGTGATTATCATGTTGACGGATGAGTCATTCTTTCCTACACATTATATTGTTTAAAGACTACAACACAGCAGATCTAAATGTGGTTACAAAATGGTTTTTACACTACATAGATCAAATTAACCAAATAAGTTAGCCCATATATGTGTGTGTTTGGACAGCACTGTAAAACGTTTCACGGGGTAATACGTTTTGGCGTCTTTCGAAGATTTTAATAAAATGTGTATGAAAATAGCCTCACCAAACTCAACAGGAGGAAGTTCATGCTATAAAATATGTGCTTTGTTGAAATTATTGAAGGCACTCCGTAAAATGATTACGTTTATTACCTTTTTGAATGAAGTAACTTCTTATGTCATAGAGACTGTTTCCAATCTGTTTTAGGCCCGGACGAAAGAAGTCGTTTGTCCCCAGATATAGACCATGCTCATCTTCCTTTGCGATATTTTGCTGGAACATGAAATGAAACATGACGTTTATACTGACAATGTTAAATGAAACTGATACAACTCTATTATTGATGACTGTGGCGTTAAACAACGTTCAACTCTTAAAGGAGACATTACTAGTCTTGTGATTGTCGCCTATTTATAGATATGAATGGTATTTAATCTTGGCAGCTGTACGGAAAGATAGTAAATATCAATAATTATTTTCCTTACATGCATATATGTTTTCTTAAATGTTGTAACAAATATATGTGCACTTACTAGTAGCCTCCACATCCTGCCTGCAATGATTAAAAATTGAGTAAAAATCAAGAATATTTTAAAAACATCTCCATCGACAAGTAGTGCATACATTTTGGAATAAAAGGCAAGTATATATATGTTATCAGACTGTACAATTATATCATATTAATTTGACAAAACAGATCAAGGAAAAGAACATAACGGTAAATTTACATTTATGAGCATCCTTATCATATTAGCAAACTTGAAAGGAAACATATATCGAATGCCATTTAGAAAGTGGTTAAATGTTACAAATATTATATTTGGGATAACACTTTATTAGTAAAGTACTCATTCTGGTACTTTTCGGGAGTTGATTCCCATCTAGGATTCGAGCCCACACTCCCAGAGTGTGGCACCTAATCGCCAGCATACAAAGTCAGCCATCGAGGCAAAATGAACGTCCGACAATTGGTAGTCTAGATCAGGTACTTTGTGTATCCCTCTGACAAGTGTAAATTGGCATGGCTCTCATGGCTGAAAGCTATGAATACACAATGCCATTCATACAATTTGATTTTATTGAAATTATGTTGAAAGTGGCGTTAAACGCACTGTCTCATGATCATTTATCATGCAGAGGAATCTTGTATGTTCTCTTATATTAATGTTTCTGACTAATATTCCATAGTTATCAATGACTTAATAATCTGACAGTTTAGTATATGTGATGATTCATTTTTTCCATACAACATTAGTTTCCATAATCTTCTATTCTATGCTTGAACCTAAAATTTAGAATAACCCCGATTTGAAACTAAATCCACATCTTACATAACAAACAGTTGAAATGCTTGTTACCCTTCGAGTGCGTGAGTGAGTGAGTTGGGTTTAACGCCGCTTTTAACAGTATTCCAGTTATGTCACGGCGTGTCAGAATAATGTGGGAGGAAAAATGATGCAGGTCTCAGACGTTTATCACTTCGGTGAAACCCACGAGCACCGGTATGGTGCTGACAAACCTAGAAACATAATCGGGGCGAACCGGGATTCGAACCCACAATCATAGGTTCCTGCCCAAGGGACGCAACTCTGCAAAGCGAATCGCGGCGCTTTAGACGACTGAGCCACCCGTGCCCCCTGTTACCCTTCGAAGTCAAATATGTTTATATATAACAGTTCTTTGTGTAATGTCAGCCGACATACATAACAGCTTAAACATATATTTTACACACTACTCCAGATATGAACTGTATCTATCACATTCACATAAAGCTGCATCACTTGATACATGTTTACGAACGTCAAATACAAATTTATAATACTTCATAAAAGCGACAAAAATCATTCTGATAATCATAAGAAATCTCCATTAAGTCTATCGTACAATCTCAACTATATCATAAGCATGTGTTTATGAATCACTATCAAATAGTAATGATACCAGGTGTTCGCGAAAAGACGAGCAGACCTTCCCCACCGGTCTCACCTGCCATTAATACATGCAAAGGCAAGTCAGTTATTCACCTGAATAAACACGGGAACATATGGTACAAGTCAAACTAGGGAATTGCATGGGCAATAACTTTTGCCTCAAATTTCGAAATGTCTATCATAAACGTTTTGAAATATTTACTGACGCTTTGAATGCTGTGATCCTGACCAAACAACTTTCGAGTGAGAGTTGTATGACAACGTGGAAAGGGCATCGTGGAGGGGACAAGCACGACTTTACCTAAAAGATTGAGAAATGTCACCTATGAAGGCTGGAATATTGTTCAAGATAAAAGGGAAAGTTAACTTGGCTATTTGGCTATTATCGAACAATCTAATACCATCCATATACCTGAAGACTAAATTAAACTTCATTGCCAAATTTCCTTGCTTTGATTTTGCCAACTTCGAGCAATGATGACTCGGATGTACAATGAAATAGATAAGCAAGGATTGGATAAGTAGCTTAATTGGTGGATGAATGACTATTGCAGAACTTAATCATGGGTGCCTATAAATTGATTACATTTATGTATCTAGGCATTCTCAGAAGTCGATATTCGACCCAATTGCCGTCTTAAATTTGAAATGTTTTCTTTTTCTCAATTTGCCTGCCATATATTATATTTAGCTTGGGTAAGTGTTAAAATATTTTGGCACTTTTTCAGCAGTTTAGTGTATAGAAATGTCCTTGGCAAATGGGTTGTACGCTTGAAATGAGTGATAAAGTGTTTTGTCTTTACGAGCAAATCCTCTTTGTGTGCACGCATGCACACACAGAGCAGCAAGTTAGACTCTGTTTTCTAGTGTGTTCTGTGTATTTTTGAAACTGCTATAGTAGTGATTGGACGTTCAATTCATTGCAATTCACAAGCATGAATGAATGCTTATGCACAACATATACATGAAATTGCCCGATGAAGCGAACGTAAAATATTGCTTTCCCTGCGTGTTCTGCAGCGTCTCTGTGCTCACTTTATGCTGCATGTATGTGCTTCCGACTATGTCGTACCTTTATGATACCTCATAACAATTTCAATTTTAAAGGCTTTAATGGACATATTTCTTCATTATTACAGTCCATACGTAACAATTAAGTCTTTTTACAATCACATAAGAAAATCATGCATTTTTTTACATACTCTTTATTTTAGCTGAGTACTCCTAAACGGTGATCGACCATGTGGTGCCTTTACCGGAAGCCTTCCCCATTTATTGTATTAGATATGAATTTTAGATGACACACGTAACTTACCGTCTTTTTGTGTATTATATCAGTTCACTCTGGTGTTTCCCTTCGTCTTGTAAGAGCACGTACCCAATCCTTGATATTTATCCGTGTGATCAGTTTGAATTGTTTGTCATATCGATATGCAAGTGGTCCTTGTTTGTCATAGAACACTATCCCGCTCACTGGTCTGGCTGAAACATGAACAACTACTGGATCTACATCACCGTGTCCGTGATTTCCAGATTCACAGTTGACTCTTGGATCACATTCTTTCTTTGCTGCTGTGCTAGGAATGAATTGAAATTGAAATATATTCGGATCTGGAGAGACCTCGTTTCCGTCATAGTCACAGACGAGAACCAAATTCCCAATGTTATCCTCTAACGTGTCCTTGAATGCAGTTCTGTCCGTCAGAACAACAGGCTGGATGCGGATTACTTTAGTCTCATAACCATATCCCTCCAGAAAACAATTTTCCTCATGGACACCATAGAGATAAGAACCACCACATTCAGTTTTAGTAAATGCGCTTATGTATTCTGCAAGTTTAAGGTTCTTGATAATATACTCTGCCAATGCTTGATCCCCTTCCTTTTGTTCAAAGTTACTTTTCAATTGAAGTGATCTGTTTTCACGAACATTCAGAAGATCATCTGCATGAGTCACACCAGGAATTTTATGGAATGTTTCTTTGAAGGCTTTCCTTTCTCTAACAAAGGTCTTGAGCGTTGCTGCAGGAATGTCAATAATGCAGTCATCAAATGTTGTCTTGGTTTTGAATCTAGAAGTTGTCACAGTAGAAGCAGCTCCAACATAGAGAACAAGGAAGTCGCCAAAATCCTTGCAAGCACAATGACTTTTTAGTGTCTCTTTTCTGTAAACATCACAGAATTGTTTCCCATCTTGAATCAAATCATGAAGTTTTGGGTCAGCAAACTCATCAAATGCGCCAGTGAAGGAATCTCCAGGCGCCAGGCCAACAAAATGAACCAGTATATATCCAGAGTTGGAGTTGCGCAGAGCTGATACTTTTCTCAGTAACTCCGCTGCTTTACAATCTCTCTTCTCCTTTTTCTTTCTTGGTTTATCTTGTTTTTCTTTCCCTACCCCAAATAGGTACTTGACATGAAGCCCGGTAGACAGGACATTGCATTTTGGAGAGACATTTTTCAGAAACTTACGAACTGCCTCATCACGCCTTGGAATATGTTTTCTGTAATGACACAATCATCAGAATAAATACTAATAGTGAGTGAGTGAGTTTGGTTTAACGCCGCTCTTTAGCAATATTCCAGTAATATCATGGCGGGGGACACCAGAAATGGGCCTCACACATTGTACCCATGTCGGGATTCGAACCCAGGTCTTCGGTGTGACGAGCGAATGCTTTAACCACTAGGCTACCCGACCGCCCCAATAAATACTAATAAAACACATATCAAACACAACTTGAGAAAACAAATATCTGAACAAGATGCAAGAAATGTATAACAATTACTAACAAGGCATTTTACAGTATGCATATCCAATGTTGAAATACAATACTTACTCCAGACACTCTGTGTGAAATTCTTCTTTTACTTGTAGACACATTACTTTGTCTTTGTCTTTGTCTTTCACATAAACGTCTGCGTGTTCAGAACCTATCGGTACAAGCTCTCCTTGCCTTGTATATAGTATGTCTTCGGTTTTGACATAGACAGTAACGTGTTCATAACCTACAGGGATATGCTGACCTTCTTTCTCATACTTTATTTCTTCATTCTTTGCATAGACAGAAACATGATCAAACCCTGTTGGTGAGATGTCCCCTTTTCTTGCATATTTTATTGCTCCATTCCTGGAGTACACAGAAACCTGTTCAAAACCTTTTGGTCTCAAGTCCTGTTTCCAAGCATAGTTTACGTCCAATTCTCTGACAGAAACAGATACACGTTGAAAACCTTCAGGTAATAAGCTCCCCTTCTTGAGATATTTTATGTTGTCTCCTTCGCCACATACAGTAACAGTGACACATTCAAAGTCCACTGGTATACAATCCTGCTGTGTCACATAACGAACGTCTACATCCTTGTGATACACAATTACACGTTGATGTTGAAATATTTCATCTCCACAATAATCACAAAGATTCATGACATCTAGAACCTAGGGGTTTACATTTTACAACATGCCAGGAGAAGCGCTGACTGTTAACGTAAACTCATACGGAGGGACAAACTCAGTTGGCTTTGCATGGAGGTGTCTTTCAAACTGCGCCCTAACCAATGTGATATTGACTAACACACATTCGTGTCAACCACGTCAACACATCACGTGATAAATAGCTATATCCTGCATAGCCACACATTATTCATAAACTCGATGGCTGTGAACAGGTTCTGCAAGGAAAGAAAACACACCAGTCACGAAGGAGAATGCTCACGCTTTTGAAAAGAGGAAACTAGCGTACAGGACGGAAGATAGAAATGAATATGTTGAAGACGAAATTTTGTTAGATGAATGTAAGAGAAAAGGCTACTGTAAATGTAGTATCTCACAACCACTTCGCATAATACCGATGTACAATATGGGTTTAAGACCATTCATTAATCTGAATAAACAACGATTGTTTGAATGATTCTCTGACTGATGAATACATGTAACAAAGACATTTTACACAGCTTTGTCTCATCCATTATATCTGTGTTATCATATGATGTGGAAAACAATCGTTATATTTATGTTTATGTTTATTTATGAAGCTGTAAATACGGACGCATTTCATAATCTAATAAATAACATACCAGATGCGTCAAACAAATATCTTCCATCCTAACAGAAGGCTTCACCTGCATATTAGACAAGCCCTCTTGAAATATACTCTGCGTCCACACATTGTGTCACGTTACGTGAAATAGATAAAAAACCGTATATTACTAAATTTTAACAATATGCATTTTGTTCTGTCCCCATATGGATTTTAGTATAGGAAAACACACTGAAATTGACCAGAAAAGACTTTTTACGCTGGGGATTCTAACTAACATTTTAAAATCTTTCTCGTTATCCATCATCATATGCGAATGTCAATACGAAAAAGGACCGCCTCCGTGGTCTAGTGGTAGAGCGTCCGCCCGGAGAGCGGAAGGTCCGGGGTTCGATCCCAGGCCGCGTCATACCAAAAGACGTTGTAAGATGGTACTTGTTGTTACCGTGTCCGGCGCTCGGCATTAAGGGGCTAAAACAAGGACTGGTCGGCTCGGAGTCAGTATACTGTGTCTGAGTGAGGTATTCATGTCAAACTGCGGCATGGTATCTCAGTGAGCTAGCACTATAAATCGGCATCAGTCCGGACTAGTACAAGCAGCCACACAAACACACACACACGTACATGCACGTCGCTATATAAGTGCAATAATCTTGGACGCGACGTTAGACCCCATTTCACCCCACCTCACCATTACGAACTTTCTTTACACGAATTGTTGATGTGTCAATGTCATGTTCACAGATGTTCAATCTTGTTTTTAATTCCGCATGAAAACACATATTTCTCGCACTGTATGTGTAATATGATTCTAAACATAAACATTTTCATAAGGATTAGAGCATATAGATGACTTTTGGAGTTGTCATAAACACAAACTTTCAACAAATCTTCTTTTATAATTTGAATTTACAAACTATGACACATTTTTGATATAGTATGTTTTGAATATAGAGCCATTCTGTGAGTCACGACAGTGGTTAGTCAGTTGTAATTTACTTCACTTTTATAAAGCTTATCCGAAAAGAAGCACATTTTGCAACGATTTGCAGAGTCCCTGCTTTTTTCATTAAATCTATTTGACCTCCTACTCGCTGAAGTTTTCTTGTAGTTAGAATGACCTTTCTGGAACCTAGAATTACCTTTCTGGAACCTATCATAAAACCTTTCTTTATAGTGTATCACCAGTGCCCAGTCAAGATAACATTATTCAATACCAGGTTATTCTAAATCCTCCAAACCCCATTACAAGGCTATGTTCAAAACGCATGCATCTAGACTTTTAAACAAATTCACTCAAGTCATTGAAGGTGTCAGCAGTCAACTTCCCACAAGTAGGAACTTGAAACATACATTTACATGACAATAGGATTTGGCTATGATCTTTCAGTAATTACAGTTCCATTTACCATAGAGGCCCCGAAACAGTAGCTGTTACATTTCTAACATCGAATACGGATGGAGATGGACACAACAGAAATAGTTAATTATCTACATCTGTACATGTAACACGCGTTATATAATACAACATATTCATGCGCGTGGGCTGCAATCTGATTGACCGGAAAACAGATTGGATCCCAGATATTAATTTTTTTATTTGCATATGAAAACTTTCTTTAAAAAGTGTATTGTTTTCATAAGCTTCATACCAAATTCATTCAATTCAACAGCGCATGTTTTCTACATAAATAACAAACCTTTGTCAGCTTCATAAACTGCTTGTCAAACAGATACGATCGTCCACAAAATATCGAGTTCAGGTAACTTGCACCTACATGACGCGACACATGTTATTTTGTTTACCTGATTCTTGTGTTGCCAACATAACATATATTGTACAACATGTATGCATTCAGTTTCCTAACCTCAACACCTTAACTTAACACATGTAGTTTCTTATTTTGATTGGGGAAGCTGACAGTTATATACTGTTTGTTTGTAGAGGCAAATAAGGTAAACAGATGAGACTTGCCACTGCCTACAGGACAACCTGTATACACAGACCGTCTGAAATATCATATTATCTTTCATAGAATCAACACCTTCTCCCAAACTCAAGCGGTGCATACATAAAACAGTAAGTTATACATTACTGCTACACGGACGGTAGCTTTACACGGAGAAACAGATTGTCATTGTACAGGTTCAGTAGTCCGCGGTTGTTGCCAGGGAACCGGTGTATTCAACACCATGTCAGTGTGACTTTATCTAAGGCCGGGCTACCTAAGCTCTACCCTTCCCATTAAGCTGTAAGTTATGGCAGTGTGATTATCCATCCATGTATTACACATTCCTCCCCGTATAATGCTGGAGGAATTATATTGCAGTGGCTGACTACTCGCTCACCTCACGATATTACTGTTTTCAAAGGATGCTGTTACTAGATAGGTTTTTCCCTAACGTCTCTTCGCCAGTTGAAACTGGTAGGAATAAAAATAAACAAAAGGAATAATAACGATAATAACTTCTATTACTACTGCCGCTGCTGCTTCTGCTTCTACTGCTGCTGTTTGTTTGTTTATTTGTTGTTTAACGCAGCACAATTCCACCTAAACGACGGCAGTCTGTAAATAATCGAGTCTGGACCAGACAATCCAGTGATTAATATCATGAGCATCCCTCCTCATCGGTCCTGCTGCTGTTGCTCTTACTACTACTACTACTACTACTACTACTACTACTACTACTACTACTACTACTACTACTACTTCTATTACTACTACTACTACTACTGCTACTACTACTGCTACAACTACTACTAACGGGACATCTACAACAACAACCTGAGCGGCGAGGATAGGTTTTTGTCATTAAACCAAATTACCCAACACTCAGATTTCAAAATACCATATAGGTCCACGGGAGTTAAAGATACAAACCCCTTTCCATAAACTAAAGAAATCTGAAGGCTCCATTGTACGGTTCAGACTATATCATAAGCATGTCTTTAATAATCACTATCAAATAGTGATGATTCCAGGTCTTCACAAAAGGTGAGTCTTGCCTACCCTACTGGTGGCAGAAGTCAAAAACACGTGAACAGGCAAGTCAATTGTGCCTGGCTCGCTATTTTAAACGGTAATTTCACTAGAGTAGTATAAAGCGTAAGTTATTCTTTAAATACCATCTGTTGATCCTGTGCCCTAAGTGACGATTTGTAGTGACATCGTTGCAATATAATCCCGAACAAATACATTTTTTCGCAAAATTAGTAAATCTTCATTTCTAAAGCTCGGTGATGTTTTTGGAATATATGTGGATGTAGCAATGTTGATGCATGAGTGGTGAATGTGGTTGTTTTATGGTCAGAAGGATATACCTGAACGAACTGGCTAGTCTATGGTTCTGGGGTGCAGTTCATTCCATCGATGGGAAGCATTAACATATTAAATTTAGTCTTGGTATGAATGCCTGAATTCATTTCAAATAAATAAGCAGGAGAGACGCATTTAACGTTGTATATGAACTGCAGTGAAAACTGAACGAAATGCTTGGTTTTTACTGAATTGTAATGAACATTGTACAGTACTTGACATATTGTATATTTTGGGGGGGCTGTGGGGCAGCCTAGTGGTTAAAGCGTTCGCTCGTCATGCCGAAGGCCCAGGTTAGATTCCCAACATGGGTACAATGTGTGCAGCCTATTTCTGGTGTCATTCGCTGGAATATTGCTAGAAACCGGTGTAAAATCATCACTCACTCCCTCCCTCATTGCATATTTTATGCTGACACTTCAATTCCCTGCTGACCAATATGAGGGCTTGCCTTAATCTTCAGTATTGTATGTGTAAGTTTTTAACATCCGTCATAAGCGCGTGGGGGCGGGGGTAGCCTAGAGGTTAAAGTGTTCACTTGTCACGCCGATGACCCGAGTTCGATTCCCGAAATGAGTACAATGTGTGAAGCCCATTTCTGGTGATATTGCTGGAATATTGCTAAAAGCGGCGTAAAACCATATTCACTCACTCACTCATAAGCGCGTGGTTGAGCAAGCCGATTGTGACTGCATATTAAAAACCAGGACTGCCTTATTATCGCCACATAAAGTGATAGGAACCTACACCAATAGTACCCCACTGAAGGGCACATTTCAATGCAAACACGAAAACGTCGTTTTTTCCGTATATGGTCATTGGACGGAAGAACGACTAAAAATTCATTAAAATTGATTAATTGGTTAGCGTCTAGAAAGTGTCCGGAAAAGCGTCGAGTTTATCAAGCGTAAAATGGACGGAAAAACTCATGCTTTTTGCTCCGCCTTGTACAACTATTAACGGCCAATCAGATGGCGCTGGTCCCCCGACGCACGTGATGCCCAAGGCTTCCTTTCGGAAGCTTTATTTGGTTTCGTATTTCTGGCATGCCTTGCTCTAGTATCTGTCGCGCGCAGTGCAGCGAGATTTGCTGAAAAGCCAGTTTTAGGATATGTAACATTTTAATGGAATTCAGACACGCGCCAAGAAGTCAAACCAAACCATGTTAAGTTTATTGAGATAACATATCCCTCTGCTGTGCACAGTTACCTCTATCGGATAATGGGTTGTGTTTCATTTGGTTATAACAGTAACTAAGTTTGGAATGTGAAGTTTACACGATATACGGATTTTCCATAGGACGAGAGG